GTCCCGGGGGCCCGCGGGGCAGGGCTGCCCTGGGTACGGGGCGGTGCCGCAGGGAGGCAGGCCGGGGAAGAGATGAGACGAGGGTGACGAGCACGGGGAGCCGCGGGAGGGGAAGGTGATGCCGGTTTCCCGTTTTTCCCACAGGCTGATTCTCCCCACAGCGCCGAGTCACCCCCCGTTTCCCGCGTGTTACAGCCCCGCGACGCGAGCCCTGGGGCCAGAGGAGCCACGCGTGCGGCGACGAGGATGGGGACACCGGCCCTGGCGCCCCGTCACCTCCCAGCGGCTCTCCCAGGCTGGTACCACGAACCCCCGCTGGGGCAGGTGACTCGTACCTGTGGGGGTCGGTAGCCGTGACGGGGCAGCCCCTGGCCTCGGACTCTGGCTGAGGACCGGCACCCGCTCCTGGCTGGGAATCTGTCAGCCAGCGAGGCCGGGGGATGCTGCATCACTGCCCGTTGCCGTCAAGATGCCGGACTTTGGCCGAGGAGGTGCCTGTGCTGTGGGAAATGCAGGCTCCTCAAACCCGCTGCTGGGGACATTGTCGGTCCGTTGGTCGCCTGGACCTCCCGGTGCTTCTTCTTGGTCCCACAGGTAATTGTCCATGGTAATAACGCTGGCAGAAAAGCGTGCGGTGGGGCACACTTTGTGCTACGGATCTGTCGGTGCTGTTAATGATGCAATTGGAAACACACAGGTGGTTGGGTGTGAAGGTGAGGGTGCTGCAGCGTGTTTGCAGGAGGCTCCGTTACAGGTCCTGTGCCCAAAGCGAACAGCTTGGGTTCGTGTCTCTGTCCGCTCGCGGCGGCTGCTGATGCTCCTGCACGGTGTGACGGTTCTGCTCGGGTGGCGATTCACACCGTGGCTTTCTGCGCTGCTGGCTGGGGCTGTGCGGTAGCAGCATCAGCTGCTCATGGCTGTGCTCAGCATGAGCCGTAGCCAGGCTGGCGATGCGTTTCCAGGCTTAACGCTTCTCCTTCAGCAATGTTAGATGTCCCCAGGGGGATGCATTACAGCTTGATTTTGGACAATCCCAGAATCGGGTATTTCCCCTGGATAGCTCGGGGTCACAGCCGCCTCCAGCCCCCTGGAGCCAGAGGGCTTTGTTCGGTTCAGGTCAGGTTCATTTTCATCCAGGCGCAGCACATCGCCTTGATGTCAGGGAGCATCTCGGCATCGCTCCTGGCACCCCAACACAGAAATCGTCCCAGTGATTGATCCCATTAATTCTTTATATTGCCCAATACAGCAGCAGTAGATCACGCTTGCTCCTTTCATGAGGACAATCTGTAAAAGCAGGTGCCGCCTTCCCTGCCAAAGGAAACGGCGCTTCTCTTGGGAGGCAGAAATACCTCGGATCTTGTGTTCATCATCTTGGTTGATGAACATATTCTCTCGTCTTTAAGTTGGGCTCACAGCTGTGGCAGTTCATCTGAAAAAAAAAAAAGAGGAGGGAAGTGTTATACTTGTCCCTTTTCATGTTCCAGATCACATTCGTTCCCTTTCCTATTTCACGCAGGATGAGACAACCTGAGCGGCTGAGCACCGCAGAGCTGCAGGCTCTGCAGGGCCAGCACAGACAATGACCTCTGTGTGACGGAAGGCAGATGGGAGCAGCTAAGAAGGTGACCGGTAGTGATTTGCGTTACCTCTCTTTAGGTGTTCTGGGTTACAATGGGGCCTACAAACAGCATATTTGTAAGGAGAAATACTGGGGGGTGTGGTATGACACATGACACGATGCGGGGGGGAGAAACACCTGTGCCCTGATAAGAAGTCCCTCCAATTCTGCACAAGTTGGGGTTCCCAGCATCTGAAGGGATGTATGAATATCTACACTATCCTCTTTTTCCTTCTAGCATTAGCGTCAATAAATGGAAATTTAACCAATATGGAATCTAAGTGCCTTTGTTACTGGATCGTAACAAACACTAGCCCTGGTACATTACAGTTACGATCCACAAAGAAGGGTTCGCAGCCTACTGTTTGGGACTCAGGGCTTACAGCTTATTGTTACCTGTTCAATAAAAAGGTCGAAATCCTTAAGCTATAAACTCTGAATCCAGAAGTGATAAACTGCAAATCTTGGAACCCAAACGGTTACTGGGGATTTTAAAATTTTGGATAAGGTTAGATTTTAAATCCTGCGCCGTGATTGGTAAATGACTGAACTGGAAACGCTGATTGATAAATACCGAGCCCCACAATATAAAGTAATGAACTGTGAGCCATTCAGTGAGAAACCCTCAACAGCAATCCCTGAACAAAAAAAAAAGTAAATTAAAAACTCCAAACCCTCCGTTTTAAACAATAAACACCCATGTGCATATAAGCAGGAAACTGATAAAGAGAAGCTATGGAATTTTTGCTTGCAGCTCAAAATGTTTTGCCCCTCGCTAGGAATCTCAGCAGAACATGCAGACAGACACCAGGAACATGTTACAGTTGCTTTTTATAAGCTTGGTTTTAGCCATTGTACTAACATGACCATAGGCATGAATCAATCCCAATTATTTAACAAAAATGCACTTCCACCCAATCTACCTGCAACCCCACAAGAACCAGTTCATCTGCATTAGGGACAATAACTTGATATTTTTAGTCCTCAGAGCTG